GCTGTCCGTTTGTCTGTGTTGCCCGTCGGCCAATCAGAGCCGCTGCCGGCCCCACGTCACCTCTTTATCAATGGTAATCGCCTCCTGGGCCCGCCCATTAATTAGCAATGGTTGGCACACACTTCCTCTTTTCTCAATTTTATTTTCACCATTATCCCTTTTATAATAACAAAAAATGTAACCTCTATTATTGTGCAATTTTTTTTGTTCAATTGTTTATTTAGTCTTTCATACTTAATTTCTATTATGTGTTTGATTAATTTTGTACAACAGTTTGTTTATAATTTATAATTATACACAATGAATGCGTTAAACCATTAAACTAATATTAACATGCGCTACTTAGCTTATTTGTGTTCAATTATGAATCGGATTATCGACCAATATAATTATTTTCCGATCGCGTCTGTACATACATTCCAAATAACAAAATCATGTAGGATTTTTTTACATTTAATATCCTACTCCAGATACCTCCTGACTTATAGACCTATCATTTCATATACGTTTTGAATAGTTTGATCATTCATAAACAAATTTAATCTTATGTATCTTTAATCTATGTATAACTGTGTGGTGATTAGTGACCGTTAATCGATAATTATTCAGAAATCGTGAGATGCGGTCTGGTGTGATGTAGGTTTCAGAAAAACATTTTCTTTATCGTGCNGAGAATTATATCCGTGCGTTGAATACATAATTTGGTCGTTACCGATAATTTTGATTCGCTTATCCGAGTTAGCACCTAAATGCCGAAATTCATCTGACAGACGTATTCAGCAATGATACGCAGACTAAAATGATCGGTAGGACCAAATTACCATTTATTTACTACCAATAAACCCAACACCACTAAGAATAAGTGATTTCCGTCATACAGGTCGTCATACAGGTTTTAACGTCGATCTACTACCTAGATTTCGTGGACGAGGTGTCAGACCATTTGTCAATATTTGTTTTCCAATAATTCACCCCCTACAATTCCCAAAGCAATGCAGAAGTGGAACGCTCGCGTGGAAAATACGACGATGTTAGATGTATCGACCACTTTTCTACTCACGAATACTCCGGATCATGGTATGGTCTTGATGAAAAAGCAAAAGTTGTTACTGCCAAGCTTTCATCTTGTTTTAAGGTCATCAGCAGGGCAAAACAATCTATACGACATAATTAAGTTTTTAATAGACGATTTCAATTTCCTTGAAGACCGACTTGATGCTACACTTCTTGGCAATGTAGGGACTGTGTCGGCCTTCAAAGAAACTTGAAATCTTCCGTGATTTAATTTTAAATTTAATTATTCAGAAATCGTGAGATGCGATCTGGTGTGATGTAGGTTTCAGAAAAACATTTTCTTTATCGTGCCAACGTTTCGATCTTTATTGAGATCATCTTCAGGGCTCAAAGTGTTTGTCTTCTGTGTAATTGTGCCATTCTTGCGTGTCGTGTTGAGATTGCCCTACATCACACCAGACCGCATCTCACGATTTCTGAATAATTATCGATTAACGGTCACTATTCACCACACATTTAAATTTAATTTAATTATGTCAATCATATTTAATGTCATAACGACCCGGAAACCATAGCAGTATAATTATATTAAATTAAATTTGTGATTTAGTTTAGACTTTTGGTAAAATTCAATTTTTGTAGCAATTCATTTTTTACAGTGTTCATATTTAATCAAATTCAAAGTAGTCCTTGTAATTTTTTTTGAGTTGTTTAATTATATCTCGACTTTCTGGTACTTATCATATTACGCACCGACACTTATCTTGCCGATTATCGTACCACCACTTATGCAGTTATTCACGCTATTCATTCAACTTCCAGTTTGCTAGGCATGTAAAATATGATAATTCCATTTATATTCAAAACCAAAATATTTTACATATGCACTGATTGATTTGATACCAAGGAAAAATGCTCATAGAAGTGGGTAATAAATAACACTTTTTATACGAAAAATATTCATTATGACCTAGGTAATTGCACTTATTCTATTCCTGTAATAAAAAAGGTATATTTTAAAACACGGTTTGTCAGGCCAAAAGAGTGGAGGATAACTCTCTGAGGGTGCAAATGTATTCTATTGTGTATATTCAATAACCGATGAAAATAAAAGACAAATAAACTGTTTCAAGGCACATAAGGACTGAATTAGAGAAAGCTGATTGTACCGAACAGTAGAATTAGCTAATAATGATACATCTGGTAAAGGTTATAGATCGCAATAGTACATAATAAAATAAGTACTGTGAAACTTTCGCGTTGGCCTCTAATTACTTACAAGGCTCTGGTCACGGTCCAGTTTTGAAATTAAGATTTCCAAAACAAATATTAGCAGACGTAATTATACGTAATCAGCAGTCGTGTTAGGTCGCATTCATACTCCTAGCGACTGAAATCTAGCAACAAGCATTTATTAAGCGGTGTAACAGAGACTATCGATTAGAAAGCTAATTATCCGATAGTTAGTCAACTTAAAAAAAAAATCAAAGCGCATGAAGAATTGAAGTTAATATTCCTAGAAGTTATAATAACTCTTGGTCTTAGACTATTTAGTGATTACAACACCATCGTTAGAAATAGAGAATTAGCGTTAGTCTAGAAAATATTGCATTTTCTTGTCGTACAGCCATGTTGTTGGTCGTTACCGACGTTGCTTCGAACAAATCACCACCTCCTGTTTTAAACCTTGATTTTATTACCAGTCAACAAAAGTGAATAAAAACTTGCCAATTTTCACAGATTCATAACTGATTTGATTCATTTTTCCTTCAACCTTTGATGTATGAAGATTGATCGTTTCAAATTGGAACTTAATGAACTTGGCCTTGAATTAGATACATGTATAAGGAAATAGATAATACCTCAAACACCCAAAACTGATGATGCATGTAACATTCTATACAATTTACGGTACAGATTTTAAATCCGTAATTATATACTAATTGAAAATACAGCTTCATTTAATCAGCAACCGATAAAATCTGCATTGAGGCGCTTTTTATGTTCCACCAAAGTCGTTTCTTATCCCACTCGTGTCGTTAGTCATCAATACTCAATACATCAATTATCACAACCATTACCAAAATTGTCAACATTTGGTATTTAAATTCTTATAACGTTAATTGTACCCACACAGTGATCGGGCTTTTTGATAAATTATTTGTTGTGAGTTTTTATGAGACTTTTTATGAGTTAAAACTGAAGTTAATTTTAAATAACAATTGAAATATTTACATATTAGAAAAATGTATAAAAAAGCTTTCTTAATCTATTTATGAATGATTTATTTTGGAAGTTGACCTTAAGTGTTGTTAATTTACTTCACTAGAGAGGTTTGAGATAGTTCTCAGTAAGTTTTCTCCAGGTTTAAGAAGAATTAATATTTATTAAGCCAGTAAGCCAGTTTTTAATGTGTGAAAGTTCTTTATTATGGAATCCAAAATTTTCTGTATATTTGTTTTTCAGAAATTTTTTTTTCAAGGCATGAGCGTAGCAAAAGATTTTGCCAGAAATTTCTCATGCTGAACCGGTATACAGCCACTTATTGGGTCTTGCGCCATCTTCAGTGAGCAACTATTAACTAATTTATAATTTCATAAGGTAATTTATGTAAATAAGAAAGAAAATAGGACCTATACATTTCAGATATATGGTTACACCGGTTTTCGTTTTCTGGACCCTGTTTTATGATGTTAGATATGATTTAACTAGATCATTATTTATTCCAATAAATCCAATTTCTAATAATATTTTTATGAACACATTACGATCAGAGGTATCAATGCTTATGTCTAAGAAAAGTCTTGTAACTTTGTTTTTATTATTTGATTTTTTCGAAATAAAGTTAGTAATATCAAAATTGTTTTTCATATGTTTTCTAATATTTTTTTTCGAAAAATAAAGACAGAGAGAGCCCCTATAGTTATTGACGTCAGGTTTTGATCCTGACTTAAATATACGGATAACAAGAGTGTTTTTAAGTCGGGTGGGAACTTTCAGTGTTTAGGGAAAAAATAAATAGATCAACTGACTAGATCTGGCCAATTCTAAACAACCGTATTGGACTGAGATCTTCGATAAGAAATATGAGAAAAACAAGATCAAAAGCATCAGATGGTAGACGTAAGAGGCTATATTTTTTTTGCCTAAATATGCCATTGTATGATCCAGGGAACGTTCCAGTTAATAATCCCTGTGTCTATGATTTTGGTTAATCGTGTTTCGGGCAGCAAGCAGGTTTTGTGTACATCGAAAAGTGTAATTTTAAGATCAATATAAAAATCAGGGCTGCGTTTGTTTCAAGATTTAACATATTGCTTGGATATTTATTTAGAAATCGTGAGATGCGTGATGGATCGAAACGTTTGTACGATAAAGAAAATGTTTTTCTGGAACCTACATCACACCAGACCGCATCTCACGATTTCTAAATAAATATCGATTAACGGTCACTAATCACCACACATATTGCTTGGAGTTAAATTTGCCACTGAAAAAAAGTTTACTTATAAAAAACCTCTGCACTTTTTCTATAGTGTCATACTGTTCAAACCAACATATTTGACACCATAGAAAAGGATGGATTCTGTCACTCATTTGATACACTAATAAGAAATGTCGGTGGGATCCGAGAAACACTTTTCAGACAATTAGAAATGTGTGAAGAAAGGACAATAAATAATAAATAAACATTATTATTAATTTTAAAATATGACATAATTAACACGTAAAAATAATACATGCATAAATGATTAGTGTTTTAAATGCCTAAAAAATTTCTGGTTTTAGCTTTCTATTCGATTATTTGATTTGATTATACGGAAAAGAAATCTGAGATGCAAACCGAATAGAAATCCCGGAGACCGTTCAGCCCCCACACAGGAGAATCGGCGGGGAAATTTCGTCTCCCCGTCTCACGGGCACCCCTGGCCGAGGCTCAAGAAAGCCCGACATCGTCAGTGCATGTCCGGTTGCGGGTTGTGACTGACATGGAGTCGTGTGCTCTGACCATCCCGACAGACGACCAGATTGTACCCGACCCACACATCGACACCTGGCTACAAATGCAGGTAAATCGAATTACAAAAAAAAAATCTTCAGTGACATGTGAAAGTGCCAAGTGATCTTGATTATCTGGTTTTTAAATTCACCAATATCGCGATTTTTATCACCGGATGTGATATCAGCTTCCGTGAATATTTTCGCTCACCGATTCTCGATCTTTCCTGTTTCCTAAGCCGTTAAAAGTCTGCGGTTGTGGATAACAAATATAAACGTCAAATCGGCCCTATCAAATCAAAAACCAAAAATATTCGATTTTTATAGTTTAAATGTGTACATGTTTAAGTGTGTACACCAGTGTTAAATGATCAACATAAATTAAATAATTTTAAATAAATTCAAAAAACAAAAAATATAAATTTCTAATATTCAAAGTTTTTTGTGAAAAAAATCATGGATATGGTCAATTTGAAAGAAAGGAAAAACACTTCTTCAAGCTTTCGAGGGATATATCTCTTCCATCAAGACTTTAAAACTATTATCAATGTATACATACATGTGCAACAAATATGAAAATCTATTTTCATTTCTAAACTTATGGATTCAATTATAGTTTCCGAGTTGTTAGTGAAACGAGTACTACAACTGTCCATTCTATATCGGAATTACCATTCCATAATGCGATATGTATATCATTTAATCGAGGTAAATTATAATATTTATTATGTTTGCTTTTTACGCTGTCTCGCTTTGAGCGCAACAAACATGAGCGCGAAATATGTATTAACAGCCTCAGCTTGTATGCCAAATTTAAACATCACCTATTTATTAATTGCTACTCTTACTGCTAAAAATATTTTGTTTCTAAAAGCTTAAGAGACGTATATTTTTTTTTAAATTACGGCAATATTTTGAAAAAAAGAAAACCAAACGTATTATTGTACCTCGAATTATTATTTACTGTAATTGTAAGAACATTTGTGTTGTGAAATCTCGTGTTTTATACTATTAAAGTCAATTATAACATATCTTATGAAGAAAGAGGAAAAGAGGTTAAATTTGAAGAGAAAATTATTGGAGGGGGGGGGTTAAATTTTATTTATGTTATACAAAATTAGTTGTTTAACTGTACCTTGTTCTTTTACCATCAAGACTGTATTTCATGGACTTTTCAAAAATGTATAATTATATAAGTTCAAATAAGAATGCGGACGATATTAAAGTATAACGGTACTTACGAGGCTATAAAAAAACAACAAAGAATGCATTGTTAAAGTAAACTGCATTAACTTATCTAGAAGCAAATACAAAAATATTTCCATGCCCGCTTTCACGGCGAAGGACCTTCCTTGTTCCACCTATCACAGTTAAGACCCGGTTATAATTATAAGGTCGAAACTGCCGTAAAATATCCGATTTGAAATTATTACTTTCCGTTCGATTTAACAATAAAATAACTTGTTTAAGGAGAATACGAGAGTAAAAATTTGATATTAACATTTCAGCATAGACGTTTGCATTCATTAATGTTTAATTTGATTATTTACGAACGACGTTTTATAATCGACTGTCAGACGCCTACTTTGTTTAAGAGTAATATAAAATAATATGATTCAGAAATCGTGAGATGCGGTTTGGTGTGATGTAGGTTTCAGAAAAACTTTTTTTTATCGTGCCAACGTTTCGATCTTTATTGAGAACATCTTCAGGGCCTGGGATTTAAACTATGTTTGTAAATCCTAGGCCCTGAAGATGGTCTTAATAAGGATCGAAACGTTTGTACGATAAAGAAAATGTTTTTCTGAAACCTACATCACACCAGACCGCATCTCACGATTTCTGAATAATCATCGACAAACGGTCACTAATCACCACACATAAAATAATATTTTTCCTAACTACTATTGTAACTGTTTTAATCTCATATGCCTCTCAGTAGCGAAATACAGTATAAAAAAAGTTACACAATAAATATAATATAATTATGATAAATGTAATTATAAATAATCGTGCTTCAAAATTAACTTGGTCTAAAGTTTTGATTTGTTTTTCGTTTATCAGTGAAACAAATACTAAACAATGATCTTTTTCATAATAATACTAAATTACTATGTTTCGCCATCAACTTCCACAAAAATTGAACCTAATGTTATAACCGCACAAACATTCTATACTCTTTTTATTATATGGGCAATAAGTAATTATTATTTTTACCCGTCTTGTATATATTACAATATTTTGCATTGGAGTCGTCGAAACGACGAAAAAATCGCAACATGGACAATGTTTCTAAAACTACATCTTGATTTCTCTCTCTCTCTTTTTCTCTCTTTCTTTGTCTTTCTATTTCCGTAACTCTTTTATACATGAATAGACAGAGAAAGTATGCAATTTTACACGCTTACCAGTATATTTTAACACTAAATAAGCAAAAATGTTTTATTGTTTTCCTAAGGAATAAACAAGGCTGACGTATTTCAATCAAAGCGCGTACATAAAAAATACACAGTGACACAGCGTGCGTATACAAACTCACATGCTTAGTATTAATTTGTATCATTGATGTGTAAAAGTGGCCAAAGAATGTGTTTTGCACCTGTTAATTGACCATCCAGGAATGGACTCATTCGATCGTTATAAATTGACTTTTTGAAGGTAGGATAATTAAAGGTCCAGCCAACGTGGAACGCCGCGCCGTTCCGAGTTCTACTTTTGACAATTCGATCGTAAATTTTGTTTTTAAAGTTGCATAATTATTTAGGGAGGAGAGAATGATAACCACGTGTGACTGCTCTTATTACGAAACGAGCCACCCCGTGTATTGGTAATTACATAATTAAAACGGATAGGAAAAGTCCAAAGGGTGTGCCAAATTTTGTATATATTGCCGACTTATGATTAAGAAATGTTAAACCATCCCACTGGAAGATTTGCAACTCTCAAATAAGAATCATTAAAACAAATAGCAATAAAATGATACACGTCTCAAAACAATGGATGATCATTGATCATTCTTCCGCATCAGCCTTATTTCCTGTAGGTAGCCGAGTTTTTCTGTCGCGCTGTGTGTGGATTCCTCTTCATCTAATGATAGTTGATAATGATAATCGTTGATGTCCTAAATATCTAATTCATAAATGTAAAACATTATTTTAAAAATTAAAAAAGAATTTGAAGAAATTGACTAGTTTTCGTGGTCCGCTTGACCAATTAATATCTTTCAATTAATTAATGTTTTTAGTTGAGATAAAAAAGCCAATGTCTCGAGCGGGATTCGAACACACGACCTTCGGCTAGATACGCCGCTACTCTACCACCTGAGGTGTCGTTCAGCGGCGTATCTAGCCGAAGGTCGTGTGTTCGAATCCCGCTCGTGACATTGACTTTTTTATCTCAACTAAAAACATTAATTTGAAGAAAAATTAACTTTTTCGTTACATGAAGTGATGATTTTGTATATTTATTAAGAGGTGGATCAAATCATAATGCTTATTTCACTAAATCATGCGAATTTTCCAGCTGTGTTATTTTCAAGTCTCTTTTAAATTCTATTAAGTCTCAACGGAAAATTAGCCAATAATATCGCGCATAGGATTTAGTTTTTTTTGTTTAATATCTCATTTAGAATTTAAAAAATGCAACTAGTTTTCTTTAAACCCCTCCCCCCAAATAGTGAATGAGCAAGTCCCATGAATGGGCGGTGAAGTTCCCCTTATGGTTTATTGCGCTCTAATTGAAATTTATAACGTCGGTCGACTCGTGCTACAATACCCTCATCACCTAAACTCCTTAATTTTTTACGGAAAGGTTTTTACCTACGGTTTTTTCCCTTTTCCCTGTCCACGGGCAGTTTATCTTTATATTCAGAGTTATTAGTTGAAATATCGCTTTTTGGCTATTTATCATTTAATTTTAAGTTAATAAGGTTTTGATTATTTTCGGTTAATAACAAATGGCAAACTCTTCATACAAGGACCTTATAACTTATTTTACACTTATCAACTTTTTTGTGTGATCATGTAAAATATTATGTTAACAATTTTCTTTAAAAAAAAGTAAATAAAAGTAAGAAAAAAGGATGGATTACTTCACTAAAAACCAGAAATCTACTCTCTGCCAGACTTCTTTTGTGATTATTTTTTGGGTGGTATCTTTAAGTTTTTTCTGATAAAATTTCTGATCTTTATAAAATAGTACATTTTGTAGTTTTATGGAATATCATACATATGTACCATATATCATGTCATCAGGGAGTTAGCAACAGTGTTTTTCAACCAATTTTAGACAAGGGTAGTCCTTGGCGAAGAGGTCCAGGGGCCATCTCCGCTTAAGTCGTTTGTCGGATTATACGATGGATTATGTTGGAATGGGCTATTGGATTGGGGTGAGTGGAGAGTTTATCGTGAAAGTTAGAAAATTTGGTGGGGATGAATTTATTTACATAGGATATTTTGAAGTCGTTGTGGAGGGCGGTATTGGAGGCAGAGTTGTCTATGATTCTGAGGATTTTGAATTGAAAGGACAGAATTCGTTGGATATTGGTAGGTTTAGCAGTGCCCCATAGTTCTAGCAATCAGTTTGCAAACGTGGTTGCAAATCAGTTTCAATTGTGTTTTCTAGTGTCAGTGTTTTTTATCGACGTGCTACATTTCCGTCCAAGTAGTTTTACAGACTTTTTAGTTGATAGGTATAGGAATGTTGTTGAAGAATATTCTGAAAAGGGGTTTCGATTCGTAGGGAAAATGTAACATGGATGCATTTATTTTTGTTAATTTTTATCCTCCAAAGTTGGCTCCATTTGCTCCAGAGGAAAGCACGACTGTGACGTCTGCAAAGGATGCAAGGGGGTTGGAGAATGTAATTGCGATGTCTTGAGTTATGGAACAGGAGCGGTCCGAGCATACTGCCCTGTGGCACTCCCGCTCTTAAAAGAAGTAGTCTGACCCTTGGTGAACTCAGAAGGACCGTGTGAAATAGAAGCGAAAGATTAGGATATGGTGTTTGGAAGGACGCGCATTAGTTTGATAGGAGACCCTCAAGCCACACGCGGTTAAGGTGTACTATAAGA